CCAGTGACGTCATCATGTGCGCTATAGAAGAAGGTCTGTGATTCGTGACTAAATCGTCGACAGTGGGTCTCGTTGAAATCTCGTACATAGGCATCGGCTCAGATGTATGTAGGGCGGAATTTTAAAAAAATCACAAAATCAAAATCAAAGTAAATAATAAAATAAAAAGGCATTAATAACAAAAGTAATAAAACATAAAATTAAAATAAGTTTATAGCCAAAATAATTAAAGCCCGTACACTACATCAGATTTTAATCAGATTGCATTATTGTGTGATTATGCAACTGTTTGATTGCTACTTGGACTGCACACTAAATCAATTATTATTTTCCTCACGTTTGCTTTAATCAAAGGAAACGATAACAGATGTTGAAAGGAAACCTGTTAAGAGCTTTGCATTCAATATTGTGAGTTTCACAGCCCCTGCATGATAACCTTATTATATGTGAATATATATAACATTTCTAATTCTAGAGTCTTCACTAGACATGATAAATGAGTTTCTTATTGTGATTACATTATTTTGCATACAAAGCTAAGCTCTATACACGTTACACTATAGTGGTCACTGATAGATCAATATCTTCGTTGTTCTTCGCTGACTTTTCAATGTAACAAGGGTTTTCATGTCCAGTCTTGCACATCTCCAGTCCAGTGATACTTGACATAGTTACAGTGTTGTCAATGTTGTTCTGTTCATAACACCTCTCTGCCTCATCCAATTCTGCCCTAGCTCTCTCTGGGTCCATAACATGTTCCAGATTTCCCATTTTACGACTTCGGAAGAAGGCTCTGGCAAATATCCCAAGGCAGAAAAACTCGCATACAATCATAAAATTGTATAAATCTGATGAGTTGAAGATAAAACATATTGATAAGTTGTAGCTTATGTTATTCATTAAATCTGTTATTGTTGAAATTGTCTTTGACTCTGTGATATAAGAATAGGAGAATTTAACATTAGTACAACAGCGTCAAATTCCCCACCCAAGGGATCTGAAAGAAGTGTCAAACACGCAACAAAGGGGGGTGTAATAGTGGGCAATATTTCCTGTGGAATGACATTCAAAATCCCCACTGTGTGCCCCATCCTGAAAACCTGTGCACTATTACAGCTTTTCCACTTATGAGGCAGACATATGTGACAGATTTCATTAACATACATTGTAGGCATATGAATTATTTTTAAAAAATCGCGGTAACGTAGAGGAATGATGTACTTACGATATGCTGCTCCCAGACTGTTGAACTGCGGAGTACATGGAATAACCCCAGTTGACGACAGCAAACTCAAAATAGAAAGCTGAATAATGCTAAATATCAAAGAAAGCTGTATTGCCATATATTTATGTGTTATTTTATAGTCCTTGAGTTGTTTCCTGGATGCCTGAAAAGTCATACTTAATGACTGTATGGCAACTAAAGTCGATGCTAAAGAAGTGATGGAAACCCAAAAAATAGGATCCTTCAGGGTTACCTGTTAGAAAAAATAAAGTATGGCTAAAACAAAATCAATCGAGAAAATGACACTTGAGGGCGTATGCGAATAATGCAGACGACTCTTGGTAGTTAATTGCAATGTTTTCTTTCAGTGTTCTCTTAATTACACTATGATTTGAATATGTCGGCATACCTCACCGGGAACGTATAGTCCATCCGTCCACAGGACAATAGAAATGAACAGAACAGTGGGATTGACCAAAGTAACCTGCAGAACAAGTCGTCTCAGCCAGGGTTGCGTCTTTCTAAATTACAAAGATATAACATTATTAATATCTGACATTTTAGAATAAAATGAGTTTTTCAACAATTTCTGTATCTTACACCGGATTTCATGAAGGCGTGAATTTATTTTATGGTCATTCATAGATTTATAAAACATTTATCCCGAAAGATCATAATGTTTTATTTGGACATAGACACACTTTCAAGTTGGTAACGCCCATCACCCATGGGTCTATAGCGGGATTCTTCAATCATTGGTCGATATATTGCCATGAAAGCAAAAGGATAGATTCCATCAAATTTGTTTAAAACACTTGAAATTACAGTGATTCGTTTGCTGAATAAATTTAAAAGAATGCACGTAGAAGCAGTACCACTATCGTTTTGCACGGAACGACGGATAACAAAGAGGATAACTACCCGCAATGGAGTATTATATGGGCGGTATTCATCGGCTACATTTAGTGAGAGATCAACTGAAGTTGTTTTTAATCGCCAATTGAAATTTGTAAACTGTTATAAATATTTGATATAACACATTGCAGTATTCATTGGCAACATTTTAAGAATACCGACATAATATTACAAGTACGTTTTATATTTGATTGTTATGTGTAAATGAACTGAATCTATTAGATATATGTTACAGACGTTGAAACTTATTATAAAATATAATAGTCGTGAAAAATAATGGACAATTTAACGGTCGTAGGTCGCTGGATAGCATAGCTGGTGTTTGCATTGAACTCGGCATCGGGAATTCCGGATGGGTTAAATGTTTACCAGACTGGGCCAGTGTGCCACACACTTTTTAAAAGGCCAAAGCTGCTGGCTAATCCATTCAATGACAATTTTTTGGGACTCTGGTTAAGGTGCCAGATGACTGTGCTCGACTGTGCGCAACACGCGCAATTCAAGAATTCCTGAGTTTAGGCAGGGTTTATGAGTGAAGTTGTATATACATGTATTAGTTGGCCACAAAATGTGTCGTTCACTTAAGTATTCCAATTCGATTTATTCCCCTAACATATGGTGACTTTATTAATAATTATGTTTGTCGTTGCTCATCATTTTAGTATTCGGGTAACGTGTTTGAAAACCTTTAGTACTGAACTAATATCCACATCAGGATACGATCGCAATACAGATTACGTTGATAATTAGTACAATAAGTTCATTTGTTCTCAATTTAAGGAGCTTCCAAGCCTACAACTATTTCCTATAAAGCGATGTAAGCTTCTACATTATTAGAATTAATAGCCAATTTTCATCTATTTGTAAAATGAAGATGGTATACTAAAAAAATGTGTAAACTGAAGGCCTATCTAGCATATCTACACCATACAATGTGTAAATTGAAGACTAACCTGTCTACACCGAACAATGTGTTAACTGAAGACCTATGTAACCTGTATACACCGAACAATATGTAAACTGAAGACCTATCTAACCTGTCTACATGTGTAAACTGAAGACCTGTCTAAACGCCATATACTGGTTTGTATTCCTTCAGAAAAATCTCCACGTCGGTAAACCAAGTCTGGTGGTCAATTTAAACATGTTTTACTGTATAAAATAAACAATACTAGTTATTTGGTCTGAAATAGTACAATAGTAGTGTGTTCAGTGCTATAGCTCTCTACTACAACTTACCGTGTCATCTTAATTGCGGGTAAACACACACAGCACCACATTACAGGGGGTACGTTGATTTTCACATCTTTGTCCTTCATAAGTAAAATTATAGCATCTCGTCCTCCATAATAATCTATATTCAGCAACGTAAACTGGTACATTGATACTGAAAAATATCTAAAACACAGAAGACAATAATGTAACAAAAAATCATTTTGTGTTTGAAATTTATTATCTACAAATCCCAACGATTCGATTTCTATAACTAAATGTTTACATTCCTGTGCGCATGCTCAGCTAAATAGAATCTATTTTACCAGACATGCTCATCTTAAAGTGCAACTGACTGTGGAAACAGCTCATAGTGCGGCTTTTGACATGAGAATAGCGTGGTAATCAACGTGCAGACTGACTTGTCAACAACTCACAGGGTGGGTATTAAACTGAAGTACAACATAATAATTATGCATATACATAACATATTGCACTTACACGGATGCAGCAAACGTAGTGACGAGTGCAGAACGTGGCACTAACAAACCAAGTAGAGAGGTAATGCTAAACATCTAGATATTAGAAAAAACAAAACAAGTTTTAGAGAATATTTATATGAACAATATCTATATATATCATATATTTTGCAATTAGTGATTTGATCAATCGGATGAAGTAAGAACCCTCGAGTTCCAAGCGATGATAACAACACATGCTAAGAACGCAAAGGCTCATGGGTAGACGCTTGTTTGTATACAATGACACGCTATGGCCACCTGACACATGTGTAGGTGACGACTCCCCCGCTTTAAATCCAAATATTTACTATATTAAATTGATTTTAGAGTAAGATAATCAGTGTCATTAACGATTGGAATTTTCATTGTACATATTCAACTTATATATCTCTGAATTTAGGTTAAATTTACTGATTTTTCAAAAACGCAGAAAACAGATTTTAGCGCACAATTTGACATTTTCCGCTTATGCAGCTCATATGACTACAGCAGGGTGGCTTGTGTGAGCGCCACCACGCACTGAAGTTCGCCCATTGGACGTAATCAAAGAGTGTTAAATTAATACAACCATTATCTTATATACGTATAATCTGACTTATAAACATCGGCGTATTATCGTTGCCACGTTGCATACTTACTGGAAAAATTCCAAGGACCCATATTATTTTATTCCTCCTTGATTTGGTGGGAATATTATTTCGTACGTAGTAGACAGACTCGAAGAATAACAGTGCAGTGAATGCTGTGAGTACAGGTGCGAGCGTGTACATTGCTGTCTGTGCGGTGCTTAGACCTGAAATAATATAAATAAATAAATAAATAAATACATATTTTTTACTATTTTGAATTTTGAATTGACGCGCGACTACAGATCAAAACTCTAGCGACGGTGTGAACTACGTCACTTGTTTACACCCTTATTCAGAAGCGTTGCTAGGGACGAATTATCGATGGTGTTTTGACATGTTTCGTGTTTGTTACACTGGAGTTAACAATGGCATGTGCGTTGTTAATTATTTATAAGCATCATAATTTCTATGCTCAAACGACAGTTTGTATGAATTTATGCAGTGACGTCAGAGATTTGGCGGGTGGAATCGCAAAATAGATCCAGGGTAGATCATGGCGAAGTGAGAAAGTGTCCACCAATCACTAATTGTTTTACGTTGTCTAATTGATGCATGAACATATAACTGATTTACCTGCGTACAGCTCACTGGTATAAGGAACGCCACTACTGCAGTTTGAAGTCATGCTGGAACGATTTTACACTTCTGAAAGATTCTTAAATAAATAAATAAATAAATAAATAAATAAATAAATAAATAAATAAATAAATAAATAAATAAATAAATAAATAAATAAATAAATAAATAAATAAATAAATAAATAAATAAATAAATAAATAAATAAATAAATAAATAAATAAAGCGGGTTCGGTACAATCAAGGAGCTCCCATTTCACATAGATCATCCTATAATTAGCATACGTACTCTGTATAATCAACTCTGATATCTTAGTGACACTGCGCATGTGTTATATTTTTTCGTTTCCATCATGAATGTGAAAAAGATTTCATTCTTCACATTCATTGGTATTACCAGCATCGCGTGTATTAATGCACGGTTCGTTGAAAAGCAATCAATATGACAGCAAGGGATTTAAAGCTAATGGTCGTATAAAAGACTCTATTATTAAAAAGAAAAAAAGATTGTAATATGATCGACCCTCACAAATAATTTATTTTTGTAAATTTGTGGCATTTTACTTGCTTGCCTATTAATGTAAACTGGGCTGTCTCAGATTGACTACTCGTTTCTATGGGAACATTCGTGTCAGCTTCTTTTACATTCATTAAATATGTAAATTAGTGTGCTCGTAATTTTGTGGCAAGTAGAGGAACGTACGGTCGTCACTCTTAACGGCTATTACATTACGAACAACTTGAGGAGTATATGTCTTGTCTCTTATATTTCACAACAAATCGTGTCTTCATTTAATATCATATCATGTCAACACCTTTCCGCCTTCCGAACAAAACAATATACTGAACTGAGTGTATATATTTAAGTGTTCGAGTCTCAGAGTGAAACGCGTTCTCCTAATGAAATGTCAGTCATAAAACAATGAATGTCGTCACTGATATAATCACCTGCGTGTACAGCGAAATAAATAGATCAAGTGGCGTCAAGGTATGCAGACGATAAAGACAATTTCAACTAGAATTTGCTGTTATTTTCGGTGATTTGTTGTGAATCTCAAGGAAGTTTATAGTTCGTCGAGGAACTATTTCAATAACACAAAAGTTGAAATATGCCTGTTGCTATTCCAGTTGTTTAATATTCATTGTTTAAATCGAACGTTTTCACGAATAATTAATCACGTGGCGTAATGCTTAGTAACCTCATTTGAAAGGAAAGCTAGTAGTTCCCATGGTGACGTAACTGGCGTACGGAATATATTTTGCTATATTTTATCCCGGATCCGCTATCCTGTTATCAACATATCGTCTGAAAGTCAAATTACGTATTCTACAACACCCTGCTTTATGTGTCTTTGTAGCGTTTATATACCCACCATTTCTCCACATTAGTTTATTTTAATGCGTCAGAAAAATGTCGATTTTAGTACAAATTGTAACATACTGACATGTTACTGCAGTGCATATGCAGTCATACTGGCAGAACCTTAGGGCAATTAATATAATGTAAAAACAGGCTTTAATGTATTAGGTTGTATCATGGTACCCGCACTATTACGCCTGACATGAATTCCAAAACTCTCTATTCTTATTTGTGTGATCAATGAGTTTGTAGTTACGTGTTATTGAGTTCAAAACGCACACTTAGCCTTATACTGCACTTCTGATACTTAATAGACACTTTGACATAAGTCTTATATCACAATATCGACAACGTTAACATTCCTCCATACTTACATCAATCCTTTATACTAATCAGATTACCGGCCCATGTACTTTATCTTCACTTACTTCTCTACAATGTTGCTAGGACTTCGGAACGCAGTTGAATTTGTCAGCAATGCGACAAATATCTTATTTATATACCTGCGATTGTGTTAGCTATGTCGGGCGTGGAGTGTTATAACTAGCGATGTCGATTGATGGCTGGCTCCCTCTATAACGCTGAATTGAACTTGAACTGTTTACTCGAAAATCGAGTGGTATGTAAGATTAAATATTTCGGACTCACGAAATACTTTATTGCTAGATGTCTGTTTACCTTCTTGATATCAATCTATTTTAGTAGAACCTACTTTCTTATTTTGTTTTATGACGTGGTACTTCAGACGTCTTGCGCTGGATAAACCAGACATACGTGTACACTCACGCTGATGTGAGGAACTGATATCACCAATTAATGGCTCCAACGAAAACATTAAATGGAAATACTAAGGAAAGCCTAGGTTTTCACACAACCTAAATATCACCTTCGCACCATAGTCAGTAAGATTCAATTAATGTTTTCGAACAAATTCGCAGTTCCGGATAACCAAGGTGTATATATCTTATTCAGTGTACCATTAGAGGATATGCCAGGCTGTGCGATAGACCATAATGGAGCGCTCCGCTCTAAGAATGCCCTTTTCTGCATGGGTCGATTTCAAATTAGCAATTCATGAATATATAATGCTCCTGTGTTCTCTGTTTTTAACACTTTTTTCTCGTTTGAGTCTATTCTATCCACCTCAGTAGCCTCATAGGCTGTTTTTGTCCGAGTCGAATTACTATTCATGCTCTGATAAATACTGAAAACATAGCTCTTCATGCGTCACACCTTCCACACGACAAATATGTGCGTCATAAAAGACGAGTGGTATTTATTATATTTCTCTTTATTTATCTGCGCAATGAAGGAACATCTCACATAAATACTGGGGAAAATTTACTTTAGCGATCGCTATAAACCAACTACGACTTATATGGAAACATAATAATTATAAATGACCACTAAGCAACATTTGATGTGAAACTTGAATCTCTAACGAGTTTCCAACTTTTGCCTTTAACTAAATTGTCCAGACAAACCGTAGCCATAATCGATCCGTGTTTCGTGATTGATAGCCTGGCGCCGATATAAGTCATAAATGATAAGTTCAAGATGCTATATAATTAATAGGTCTGACCGTCGTACATGTGTTCGAACAAAGTTGAACACAATTTAGCCTCTTGTACAATCGGGGGAGGGGGCAACTATATCATTTAACAGCAATATGATATTCTGCTATCATAGCAAACAAAGAGAATTTAACGTTGAAAATAAAGAGTCCTTTAATAAAACAGTACCGGTTTATCTCCATGTTTTACAATCGCGCACCCAATGACGCACATTCATACTGACGCTAGGTGTGTCTGCGCATATATACTATTGAAGTGATGACCCGACTCTTTGAGTTAACGTGTAACTAGATTGTTTTAACAAATTTCTTCATGACGTTCAAATTAATATACTCAAGGGTTGGCAGTGCAACAAATCGATCCACATAAATCACATACAATAAGTGATACACGCTGAACACAAACTTTATTGCAATATGTATACATTAACTAAACGGTTACACAAAGTCGAAGAAAAAAAACACTACATAATTACAATTATTGCTTATAGATATTTAGCACACCCTTGGCTGTCTGGTGGTGCATGTCAAGTGACTTCCTTGATTTACAACTGACTAAATTAGAAAATTCACATTTTTACAGCTTAAAATATGTACACTTATTTAACCCATTGTATAAAACTGCTACGGACGGTTGCTTCTCCCTCACTCAGAAAAGTACAATGGAGAATATTGTAAGGGCAAAATAAGATGCAATTTAAAATACATTCATTAATAATATACAAGATTGTTTTTCATTCTTAAAACTGTAACCCAAAGTGCCAGTACCAGACCTTTCCCAAAGGTGATTGTCGAAAAGTGCGAACCTATTTATAACGTTATTAATTCATTGAGGGATTCTACTGGATATATTAATGTTTTGGGCAATCAGCAAACCAAGTATGTACATGTTATATATCAATCATATTGTGTTTCCAAACTTCCACCGTGACCTCTAGATTTTGCGTACATACGTTCAATTCAGAAATATGTCGAATTAAGTTGGTTAAATTGTGTCGATTGATTAGAAGTGGCCTTTTGAATCCTGTTTTATTTTGATATTCTGTTCAACAACACTGCACTTACATTTCCGGGAGCCGAGTTTAAAATAACACAATATATGTGCACTTATATTATTGGGCACAGAGTTTAAAATAACACAATCTGTGTGAACTTATATTATCTGACAACGAAATTTAAATAACACAATCTGTGAGCCTTCCTGCCAAATATAATGGCAAGATTAAAAATAGGATTAACTACGTGGCAATGTTTTTTCACTTTAATGGGGGACGAATTAAGAAAGTGTCAGTTATCGCCGAGTATACCAAATACTATAACGTCACGTATCTCCCCTTCAATAATTGTAATTTGTGGAGGCTCTACTCTGTGTGATCTGGAAATTACAACAGGAAACGCCATTAGATTTGAATAAAAATGAAAACAAGAAAATATATGCTATTATTATTCCCTAGCGACCTCGTCCAATGCTTTGGTTCATTACAGTGATTTCGCTGAAACGTTTGCATCGATATATACATGTACAATTCACCAAAACAGAACTGTACCATCGTAATACCATAAATCAAATCGTATACATTACACAACAGTTGAATATTGCAAATAATATACTTGTATTATATGTGTACACTCCGAGCTGGTTATTATATGTACATTACACAATGGTAAATATTGTAAATGTGGAGGAATTCTGCCACGTGGTCTCGTCGTCATGCTAAAATCTTCTAGTTACGAAGATGCGTATAGTAACACATGTTTGAACAGATTATGCTTTAATTTCATCTGGAACACCATGACGATGTAAATCAAGAAATTTAAGGACGTAATTACACATACATTAAATATATAGATTATTGCAAGTTAAGATAGAGTGCTAGATAATTCAAATTTACCAAGACGATATGTGAATGAGCCTGTAGGCAATGAAGACACGTGTATCACATATTATTCTTCAGTGTAAACACTAAATAAGTCTATGTTAGTACATATTGAATGGACACTGTACGAAATATATCACACATATACCATATATATATATTTATGTAAATGTCTTGGTTAAACTGACAAATATACGTATAAGCAAACTTTAAAGTAGCGACATATTTTAAGTCGTTGTCAACGCTTGTATCTTCTTGGTTCGTTTGATACTTTTTCCTTCTTTCACCGATATGGCCATGGTCCAGTCGTTTCCTCCGTTCTCCTTGACGACGTCGATATCTCCATAGTGACGTAACACGTAACCCAGTAACCGATCTATACTACGATGGAACGCGTCATCAGAATATTCGTCATTGTCATTTGCTGACATAGCAGAATCTGAAGGTATCTGTACTTTGACTGACGGAAAAAAATAAAACATTTCATTATTTTTTTCATGCAGAGGCGGAGGCACGAAATTTTGCATCTGCTCACCAACCACATGTAATAACTAATGTGGGTGCAACATCTTAATCTAATCTGCAATTTCTGCTTTGTTTATTTATTTTGTTCGGAATAAATTATTTGATATCTATATGGGGTCAGTTTAACATGTGTTTTTGAAGTGGGATGCTGGAAACACTTGAGTAGTAATGGGATGACTAAAATGAAACCACAAACTGCCCGAGTAGTTGGATAATTTCCAAAACAAACCAAAACATATTAAACTCTCGCTGCCTACTAGAAACAATAATATATGAATTTACCCTTAGGGACCTGTTGTTGTCTTCGCCTATTTGCCTGAGATGTCATCCCAATGAATTTCGTGAATCTACGCCAGACGAAGTCAACTATTTCATACTCGTTAGATTGTTTATTGATGTCCGCTTTAACTGCAATGATGCTCTGGTTAAGGATAGTCAGGAACATGTTCATCAATATCCAATAGAGGCAAAGGATAAAGAAGAAGAAGAACACCTTGCTGAAAATTCGATTTATTTCATTCAGGGCGTGGTAGTCAAACCGACCTAGCATCATAGATATCTGAGAGGCCATTGTGATACTCATAGTAGCATAGTCTAACAGTGCTCTGCCGAAGACCAAGTAAAACACCTGACAGTATGCTAGGAATACGATGATCCATATGACACTGAAGTACAGCAGGTCTTTAAAGCAGTATTTCAATGTCATGCCCAGCATGGACATGCGTTTGTTGAATCGTAGCAGCTTGAGAAACTTTAGCATAGCAACAAAGAGCTCCAGGGCGATAATCATGCTGAATATAGTATCCCAGTAAGCCAGATGCTGGAAGTTGACGAATTTTGCTGAAAGGAGAAATAAAAAATAAGGATCCTTTAAAGACAGATTCTTCAGATTAATAACACTTGTCAACAAATACAGTTATGTAACTTATACAAAAATTATCTCAAACGCACTCAATATCATTTGTCAGTTTTCATGAAAATCTATTTGAAACACGTGTAGTAAGATGAGTTTCTTCGGAATACTTCACATCACTACTTCATTGTATATATTTAGCGAAAACACCACTGTTAGTTTGCTTTCTGTTTTTCATTTCAAAATTTATTTTTTACACGTGGCCACAACGTTTAAAAGGTACTTACTTTTGTTCTTTGTCACATCGTCCAAGGCCATTGCTGTAAATATTTGTCGGAATGCGTACATCACAATGACAGTGACACCGAATGCCATTAGAACCAATTCCAAACAATTCCAAAAGCTTTTAAAATATCCCCTCTTCTCTCGTTTTATCTTTAGCGTCTCGTGGATAACAAAGTATGCAACAAACCCTACAAATAGAACTTGTGCACCAACGACAAACGCAGTCGCTGTAACTCCAACATAGTTGTACAAGCGAAATGTTGAGATTGATGGAGATAGAAGACCACCACCATGAGTTGGTAATTCAATTAAAAAAGTCACTAAACTGAACAGATTGACATTGGCATTATAGACAGTGAACTCGATGATTATAGCTCTTGTGTATATGTCATACCAAGAATTGTTTCTTAAGTACTCGATCATGTCATACGCTTTCTCTTCTGAGGTCCCAAGTTCAGCGAGATAGCCACCGCCACCATATACCGAAAGATATCCAAATACTGGCAGTCCATTCAACTCAATGGCATCATGATATTTCCAAACGGAATCGTCATCATCTGACAAGGATTGGTTCAGGCCAAGTGGCGTCCATTTTGGATTAAAGCTACGTGTCTCGTCGGTGTCGTACATTTCATAATCAACTGAACACTCAGTGATCACCTTATTCATTGGTTCGACAATAACACATGACTCTGTAAAAAAGTAATATAACATTTAATGGGGGTCGATAATGGTGTTGGTCTATTTATAAAGGACAATCCAATTATCGTAAGAATTGTTTGTATTGCATTTTAGTGTGTTTTGTACCACATGGTCCTACCTGGCTGTACTCTAAGCTGTCTGATCCGTGCGGGACCTACTCGATATGACTCTCTGTTTTCAATGAAGCGTCGGTGTCGCCAATGCAATTCCTCCCCATTGTAATTCTTCTCTGCATACAAACCAGGAATGAGTGACACCTCTACCCATTTCCAGAAAACGTCAGGAGATGTCTATAGAAAAGGTTTAACATTAAGGATGATATTGATATGATAGCTGCTTCACAGCAGACAGTAACTTCAATATATTATTGATTGTTACAGTTGAAAGTAGATGCCTTACTGCAAATAATGATTAATTTGTCTGATGCTTGAGTGATGAATACTTACCCTAGACAAACCTTCAAAGCCAACGTTAACTTTTGCCTAAGAAGAAAGTTATTTTTTAAGTTATTATTATTTTTATGTTATTTTTGTCTGTATCTATATAAAAAAATATATAAACATTTAAATGCAATTTTTTTATTTTGTTTAATCATAATCCTTTTTGTTGACAGAGAAGATTGTGATGTACGTACCAGCTTGTGTTGATTTCCGAAGAAGGTTTGATGTATGGAGTTCGTCATATTAAAAGAATTAGAGTCCCTGTTGGTGTAACATAAACTACATAGAACCAACACAAATACAGCATATATAGAAATCTCCCGCAAAATGCTTTGCATCTTTAACTCATTTAAGCGCTCCTTCCTCAGGGCTTCCAATTTGTCTCCTTTTGGTGGCAGTAGGTATGTCTTCCTTCGTGAATCTAGAAACAACAATAACAATATGACTGAAATATATTAAACAGTCATGTAACGCTAAAACAATTTTTCTTATTTGGTCAATTATACCACTCTTGGTCATGCGACTTTATGTTTATTGTTGTTCTTTCAGCCTCGTAACGTTTTACAAGCTGCTAACCATAGATCTTGATGTTACACCTGAAACAGCATGACTACTACTATTATACGTATTCCACTTATGGTCGTGTGATACATGTGTTTATTTCTTTATCGCTTATCAAATTACCTGACAGAAGTGATGGATCATGCATGTATTCCTCATCTTCTTTCAGCTTAGTATCCTTAACTTTTGTTTCACTTTCATCGTCATCATCATCTGTCACTCGCCTCATAAAACAGGAAAAGAATATGGCTATGACCACAACCTTTCAATAAAGTAGGAAAGAATTTAGCGTTACTATAAACCCAGACCAACTTGTTCCTCCTTATTGCTGCATAGGTAAATCTGCTATTGATTAAACTAAAGGATTAACGTATGGATGAGTTTGTGTGAGACAATACCAGTACAATTAATTCAAAACATTCGAACATTGCTCTACAATTTTTTATCGTGTTGTCATCAGTGTAATGCACCATGGTTAATTTATACATACCTGTACTGGTTGTGTAACAAGCACAGACAGCGAGAAGGAAAGTATTAAAGATACTAGCCATTCTTCTGACTTCTTTCGTCCCCATTGCATACTGTATAATATCACAAAGAAAGCGGATGCAATACAAGTGAGAATGCAAAGAACCCAGCCTATGTATCTACACCAGGGAGGGAATGTGGATTTCTTCTTTTTCTTTTTGGTCGTTTTGACCTCGTCCGCGTCATTGAAGAGGACATCAAATTTAGCCGACATTGGTCGGGTCTTTCTGCGTTTGAACCACTCTGTCAACGATGATTTACCAGGGCGACTTTTTCTAAATATTTCAACAACGATGAAGTTGACCGGAAAAACTATCAGATTTGTCATGATGCTGACATACAACTCATATGACGTGAGAGAAAATGGACCAATGTTGATGGAAAACACATTGCCAGCACGCTCTTCTGCTCGGTAGAACATACAGCTGGCTATCATAGAACAGTACAGCAAGGAGAGGCAGCATGATAGTCTCTGTACTCGGGTAAAGTGGCTTTTGCGAGGACGGGAAACAACGGAAAACCACAAATGCTTCTCCGACAGGTTTTGTCTTGCAGAATGGAAGAACAGTTGATTAAAATTCACTAATTCACTCTTGCTAGCTACCGGTAACACGCGATCAATCATTCCATCTTCATACTCTACAGCCAACCATTTGTCATTAAGGAAGTAAAACCTATGTATAAAACACATTTTTGAAACAGTACATGTCAAAGGGTTGCGAATACACAATTGGATGAAGAATGTTCATATTTTTTTTATTTCACATTTTGCAAAAATCTACCATATCAAGATTTGTGAATTTATAACATGACGTTTCAAAGCCAAACATCGCCCATTATATCATGCCAACATTGTGTTCTTAAACTTAATAATTCTACAAATGATTATGAATTTAAATGTCACGTGAATATGTTGTTTTTTCAATAATAATGTTCTTCTAATAAAGATGTACAAATACAACATACTTATATTTGCCCAGCTATAGTTGTGTTTCTAATTCACTCTATGTACGCAAACTTCACAAGAGACAAATTCCCAGTCTAAACATTCCCCACTCTCAGCACTCAACACTTTTGAATATAATAGGCGAATAGAAATGTGTTTTGACGGTCAATCAGTGCTGTCATTTTTGATAATATGAATGATCTCTGCAAATATTTGAGACTTATATAACATCCATTTGAATAGCATCAGTAAAGGTTGTAAAGATTTTGTCATGCAGCGAATCGGCAGCTCATTGTAATCAATTTTTCCAACTTTACCTTTTTTCACATGTGTTATAATCCAAATTTAAACCCCACTAGGGCAAGGTTTGATTATGTAAAAACACGCCAAATATAATTCCGTATTTAATTAAGCTTTCAGTTAAAGGGGCGAAAGTTCAAAAATTGTAAACCCTGATAACTTGAGAACCAAGTAATGTATCTTAGTAATTTTGGTAAGCGTGTATTCAGGAGAAGGTGGGTCATATTTTGTATTGTATTTCCCCAACAATTTAGAAATTCAACAGACAGTGCCTTTTTTTGCCATGTGTTCCTGTGTATATTTTCATTATGTTTGTGTATGCTTTTTCCCCACGTTCACACGTAAATGTATGCATTGGCGGATCCAGAAATTTGGTGAGGGGCCCACTCCTATTTACGCGGCCGGGGTAATCCTCTGGTAGGCTGGGTTTGTCAATTGATTTATCATTTTTATGCGGGCTGAAGGGGACGCACGCCTGGTATTGGCAATGGCTTCGCAATTCAATACAGACTGAGAGACATACAGAAAGACAGAAGTTTTGGAAAACGATAATTGCTGTATTGCAGCTATATTAAATACTTACTTTTCTCCTGTCTGTAAATCTGATATCATAATTCGAGACAGATACCAACTACCATGTTCCCCTTTTCCCGAGTCATCATGCCATATACGAAGGTATGTCAAAGGACCGAGACTTCTTGGTGTAGCCAAAACAAAGTGATTTATACTACCACGTTCGAAGAGCTATGAAAATTTATACACGATTAAACATAGCAATCACACCTTGACGACATATGAATACATATATCGATCGACAATTGGTATTTCAGGAACTATTAACGTACCACTTCAAATTATGTACTAACATTACCCAAATGAAAATGACGATTAAATGTATCATTCTATATAAACGAAATCAATCACGAATGAGTCAATTCCCGTCCCATGCTTGTTACCTTTCGTTTGTCATCATCCAGTTTACGTATTCCAGTATCTTCATCTTCACCTGACAGCATAAAATTTACCTTAGACTTTGTACCAGAGCCCTGGCGCATTCCAGTATATACCACAATTTCGTAGTAGTACTTATCACGCGGACTGTTGTCAATAAGAGGTGTCACTCCCCACTGCAAAACACGAATTTCAAGATATTAGAGGAACGTTGTCACTGGTGTGACACGATTGCCAGGGTTTTTGCCCGAAATGTCCAATTCCACAGCAAAATCTTTTTTTTTCCTTTTGTATTTTCAGATCAATGACACCGACTCACCTTCATAACGTCATTCTTGTCTTTACGTCTTGCCCAAACCATCAACAAACAGTATAGACAAAACAGAGATATCACTGTAGAGAATACGGCTGCATTGTTGCCAACATCAAAATGATCAAAGACTGTAGAAAAGTCGATCGTATTTGGAGGAATGAAAAAATCAGCTGCGAACGAGGTTAGATGGTTGCATAGGCAATGGACATACATAGATGTTGAATAATGCCCTACCTGTAAGAGAAAGATGTACAAATTACCCACAATGCTCCCATTATATTAAAATTACAATGTTACCACTAGATTACCATGGAGTCTATATATTTTGACTATGTAGTTGTTTTGTTAACTGTTGTCAGTCGTTTTTAGTGTTCTCAGACTTTTGTCTAAAGATCTACGGTTGGGTATCTTATTTCCATTTCATAGGAGATTCAGAATACCCATTACAATGATAATATCCTGTATCATCTTACTAATATATGAATGAGAAATGATGAAAAAAGTAAAGAATCAAATTACCAAGAATTTCAAAATAATCATATATTTATCTCTACAAGGAATATAAAGAACATTATGATTTTTAAAATACTAGATCCATCTATTTTTAAATATATTTAGCTGCCGAATACTTTATCTAGCGAGAAGATCATGGTGTATTACGTACCATACATCCATCACCTGTCCAAATCTCATCTGCTTTGTTCCAGTAACTACATCCATAGCTCATGATATCGAGTGTGTAATTCACAAAACCAGATGAATCTGTCAAGTCAACTGAAGAAAAGTATAACAATAGATTAGTTGTTGTTGATTGGTATGCAGTGTGAATTGAACGACACAGTGCGTCAACATCAAGTACTAAGCGGCATGGTAATATTCTTACCTCCAGGCATCACTGACATAAAATACTCCCCTTGTTCGGGGAGTTTGGCAGAAGGAATATGACAAATATACGATATTTCATCTGCTACATCATCAGGAATAGTTTCGTCTGACTCAACACGTGGTAGTTCACATAACAGATACACGTCTTCAGGGGACGGTAATTCGCCGTATTTGCCATACACGACAAGTGGGATTTCACTTGAGAGTGTAAACATTAGTTCCACGGCAATGTTTTCCTTAGTGACGTTGAATGTATGATTGTACATTGTATCTAGATTAGATAAATCCATTTCCACTTCCAGGGTATCAATATCGACTTGATCTGTATAAAGATGTATAGTAATTGGATCTACTAAATCCTTTATCTCCAGTTCCTCACCATCCGGGTTAGATAATTTCATAGTCATCACGCCCGATTTGACATTGCTTCTTGAAGCGTCCCAACTGTACTGATTCCCATCCACGTACATAGTCTGGAATAAATGACCAAAAAGAAGTACAAAATAAGTTAAATAAATAAATAAATAGGCTAATTCAATTGTATATCTATTTATGATAGTACATATTACAACAGAAGATATAGTAATATTATTTGTATTGTGTTATTCCAACATTTGTATCTAATTATCATACTTTACCACTAATAACTTACTTCAATATCGACGAATGCAAAGGATGACCCTTCTTCGAGAACACCTCCTGATTTTGGCAACTTAAAACTACCAATGGTTCCATACATCTCCTTATCTTTCAGGTTTTCAGGCTCATCACGCAGTAATTCCATGGTGAGGAAATCTGATGGTAGGCGAATTGCTGGTTCTCCAACTACCTGAGTTGATCGAACTGTTAAACTAACAACGTCAATGATTCCCATTCCAAGGTTGCTTATCATACGTGCCTGTCAGTATTGAGAACATCGTGAGTTGTCTGTGCTAGCAATATTTGTTTGAGATTTGTCCGTCCATCTTATTTATTTAAAAATTAGTCAAAAACACTGAATAGTTCACTCTTGTGTGTGTTAACAATTGAGCTAATTTGTATCAATTGTTGACTGCCTGTTAATATTTATTGTTTATTTAATGCAAAGCAAAAGGCCTTTGGCCCAAACAAAGGGCAAATACAGTTTCACTTAACAATGGTAACAATACAAATCATTTAAGTTCTGCTTTTCATGGCAAAATAAACATAACTCGCTAACTGGTTTAAATTGACATCATGTCTTGAACTCATGAGCGAGATAAATTTGTTGTAAGTGGGGCTAGTGCAAAACCATACAGGCAAAATTCTGCTCTAATACGTTGATAACGATGGCAAATAGCTATAAAATGATATTCGTTTTCAACATAAAGTTGATTGCGTTCAACACAGTATTCACAAAATCTATTATCGAGGGGTACATTTTCATGTCTTCCCCTTTCAATACGCAAATTGTGCGAAGAACAACGTAACCTTGACAACGCAGCTATTAATTTGAAAACATGGATGCAAAACAAATGTTTTTCTTTATCAAGTGACAACCTAAAATTGTGATAGGAACGGAGTTTGGGGGAAGAAGCAGTGTCGTCGTGCCATACTTGTTGCGCACAATCTTTAATTCTTTGTGTGAACTGTGAAAGAAACACACTTTTTGACCCCACACCTTGGTTCAACTATACATGGCCGACTCAAAAGCGATATAGCAACATTTTTACATTAAAAGCCCAATTTACCGACGTTATAACGTTAAAAAAAGATTATCCGACTAACGTTGATATTTAAACAATAAAACAAAAACACACTTCGCACGACATTATGGAGTTCATTATGAGCCACTGGGGAGTACATTATTGTTATTATTTTGTAGCATTGGCAATGCCAGTGAATTTTCACAGGCTATAACTAAGACAAACTTGGAACTCCCTATCCTACATGATGTTAATTTTGCCATGATGGAGGACCAGTGATGTGTATATGGGTTGAAGCCTGTAAACCAGACAGCAACGGCATGCTGCATTGCACACCATCTTGCTTGTGAGCTGAAGCATAACTTTCCCGCAGTAAGTCTGCAAGGTCTTCAAAATTAGTGGCGTAACACATTTAGTCTGCTGTGAAGTATTTTTTTTTTTCATTTCTTGTGTTTTCGAACACATTTAACTGGAATTCGTCGACATCGATAAAACGGGTCATCGTGTTTGCTTTGGTGAGCTACGTTTATTTACACGTTGGGCGTCGGTACCTGGTGTTTCTCCGGAAGTTGGGATTGGCCAGATGACGATTTGTGTTTGTCGTTATGGCGGGAATGACATTTTTCATGTAAACTAAGAACAAATCATTATTTTCATATAGCTCAGAGTTATTACTTTTCAATTTTGATTGTCATCATTTTCACCCTCTAATTTCCCTTATTATTAAATGCCCGTCTCTTTATTTGTTTTCCGATCTCAACATTTTATTCCTATGCATGGTACGGGGCCTTTATGCTCAATAATGCAATATATTATCGCGAATAATCTGTGGCAATGGCGTCATAAAATTCGCTGGTATTGACAATGCTATAATATAATGTTAAAATGTGAATTTATATATATTGACATACCGCCATCTCCGCATATTCGACTTCCTGTTGCTTTAAAAGGGCTTGCTGATTTTCATATTCTTCAATTTCCTCTGGAGACGGGTCGTCACCGTAGTATTCCGGTGGATCAGTGGGTTCTACCTTCACCTCATTCACATCAATCACAATTGAACTTTTAATGATATTACCGATACCTTCCACAAGCGCTGTAAACAAACAATATACAAATACATTTATGTGTCAGGATATTTAATAAAAAGTGAAATGTCAAAACATAGAATATCACAAAATAATTCAATTCGGCATATATAGAGATTTATTTATTTATTTATTTATTTATTTATTTATTTATTTATTTATTTATTTATTTATTTATTTATTTATTTATTTATTTATTTATTTATTTATTTATTTATTTATTTATTTATTTATTTATTTATTTATTTATTTATTTGTTTGTTTGTTTGTTTGTTTGTTTGTTTGTTTATTTATTTATTTATTTATTTATTTATTTATTTATTTATACGTACATGCTGCAGTTTCTAGCATTTCCTCACGTGACTGGTCTTCTATGCCTTGTAGCTTGTTTGCCATAAACACCAATGCCATGGCAGCTCGGACCTAATAAATATACACGGCATTATTTGTTATAATAATACGAGATAATATGAATATAAAAATGGGTTATTTTGAAAGACCGCATAACCCGAAGCATGATTAAAACACTAACCAGAGCATCAGAAGTTGTTCCCCCGGGACCAGTTAAGTCAGATAAAGTAGCTGAAGACATCAGCAAAGCATCTATAGTATTGGACCAGAAGCACATCTTGGATAACGAAATTAAAAGATTGCTGCGAAGCTGAAATATACAAAAACAAATCCGATTAGCGAAAGTAAACGTGTGAATTAAGATCTTTTGCAATGGAATAAATCAAGTGGACGCATTTAGAAGAGATCTCCAAATACAATAAATGAGCAGCTACTCAACAATGTCTGGTCCGATCCCGTAATCGTCGGGATAATATTTGCATAGGAGATTAAGTTACGAATGGGAATTATCCGCTTCTCGTTGTTTTTCATTTTTCGATATTTAAAAATTACTACATGAAAACATGAAATTAGACATTTCTTCATATTTGGCCGTGGATAAATGCCAAAATGTATTCTTTGTCAATCGTACTTTATAAATATTTATAAATAAGTTTCTGATTCACGAGGATTCCATGGGAAAATGTAGGGTATTCAGCTTGGTTCTGTAAATGTACGGGTGAATGTTTACCCGCAATACGGTATTACATAATGCCACCTAATCAGAGATTTAAAAAAAACAACATATTTTTATCGTTTTCCCTGTTACTACCCTGAGTAACTTTCAATACCTACACTACACTGACAGTACAACACCAGTTAAAGTTGTTGCGTTTTTAACCTAGGATTTTTCACCTGATCGACTAAGAAGTACAGCTCTCTCAGATGTTTATCACTAAAATAACTTATCATCTCTGTGTATCATGCGGTTTGCAAACACAAACAAATCCTGTCAAGATTGAACGCGAGAACTAATTTATTCATAAATGTTGAAGTATTCCCTTTTAGAAAAACACACTAAATAAAATATATTTCCTAATTGCTCGTAGTTTATTGGAGGACCACAATAATTGTTTCTTTTATTTGTACATTCTGTGGAAATGTGAAGTTTAAAAGAAAAAACAAGAATAGCAACTGTCATTAAATTCACATATACTGTACCTGCTGTAGACACAATTTGAACAACTCTATTCAGGACGTTGAACAGGAAAGTTACTATAATTCACAATGAAAAGGGTAGCACGAAGTGCCAGGTATAACTAGATTTATATCAGTGCATTCTTGTATACATTAATTGGGGGTTATTTGCGTGACTAGTTATTGTGCCGTGCTTGTCAAAGTCAGTAAGGAAAGTGACACACGAGGGCTGCGTAATATTCTTGTATCATTCAAACATCCACACGTAAAACTTATCCATACCCAAAACACGGGAGTGTTCTAAAGGTAACTTAGTGTTAGTCTGATGCATGCGTGTAGACAGAATGTATGAAACCACAGAAAAATTGTATAAAACTGCAATATGGCTAATATTTAAGCAAAGAAGTTAAAGTTATGCCTTAAGAGGAGAACCTTTTGGAGGTATTACATATTAATGTGCAGGCTTTTATGTGGGTTATGGGCAAAGGCAGAAGTGCTTTTCTCTTTAATTACCTGGCATTCCAAAGAACATCGGCCTTGCGGAAAATAGTGTTGCTGTTTCAGTGCAACATTCAAAAAGAAAACACATTGTTTGTCAGAGCAGCATGTTAGTAATTTAAAAGCATGTGCATATTAGTATTTGATTTGTGTATTGCCAAAACGTATCATGCTTCTACATCATAAAAACAGGATTGTACGTGAAGCTGAATTCTTCTACAAATGCGAACAAAATATACAAAATTGAACTATTTTTACACAGTCAATCTTGAGCGACAGGCTATTAGTTATGAGCTGGAAATACACTGTGCGTGATGTTTGTCATTTATGCATAGATATTTATGCTATGTTGAAAAGCTTTTGCGTTTTGCCTGCCAGTAAGCTGCTTTACAAATAATACTGCGATGGACTGAAAGCGTTACCTCGACCTGTGCCTCCTGAATATCGCCATCAACTACTGTACTATTGCCGTCCTGGGCCAGATAGAAGTTTGAACCAAGAGACAGATGGAAAGTTGTAGAGATGGAAGAATGAAAAATCAGAAAGACAACCATGTGATAGAATATGAGTATTAAAAGTTACTGGATGAAATGTGTGAAAACAGTGTGAAATGTATGGAATAGATAATTTGAATAGAAATCATATTATGAATGACAGAAAAGCAATCACCATGCTTCCCATGAAGCTATGTTTATTTTGTCTATAGTACGTGTTCTCCTATTAAACTTAAAAAGTGGTCATCATCAATAGTATTTTGCATCAAATCGTATTACATGGCTAAATTCACGAAAACAGTGGCAAAGGCTTAAATCAGGTTTAGATATTTAAAGATAATTATTATAATAATGACAACTGCATTATGTGTAGACTCCAAATGCAAAATATATTATTTGTGACATTTTCTACATTACCTGCTCCTGTTGCGGGTACAATGTGAATAGAGCCATTATCAACTGTGTCGCTCCTTGGTAGTTTCCAGATTCCATGAGTTGCACCAATTGACTGTTCTCTCCCATAGCTAATTCTTGCAAGAGTTCTTCACTCTCACTCAAAGACAGCTCTAGTGGTCTAACCTTCCAGGTGAGATAAAGAAAATATCATATATGCAATAATTATGATTATGAATATAATTCTCCTATTAGTATATTTCATTGTTTTGTTTTGGTGATTCATACTTACTTCCACACTTAGGTTTGAGACATTGTAAGCACCATATTCATCGATTATCTGAACCTGAATGTCATACATGTAGTTGTAGTCTGGTGATCCTGAGGCAAATACAAGACCATCAGCGATAGCGTCTTCTCCATAGCTCATTTGGGTCATTGTAATGCCTTGGTTCCCAAATAATATTTTATATTTGAGATTTTCACTGGATAAACTGCCTCCATCTCTATCAACCTGCTCTCCCTCGTCCTTCCAGTGTTCGCAGCTAACATTGAAGTATGTGTTCACAGCAACACCTAATACACGAGAGATGATTATTGTTGGTATAAGCATAATTGTCTCATATTACGAGATAAGTTGATCAAAAGCTAGAAAGTTCACAGTTCATGTGCATTACATAAGTATCACTGACCATTGCTCGGACTGATGCTGCATATTCCGTCAAATGGTGGTAGATTTGTAACAATGTCCACATATGTATACCCAGTAGCATATCCCTCCCTGGAAGCATAGAGGCTCAGACGATATTCACTGCCAGGTTTCAGAGAATTAGCAACAAAACTAATGCCAGTTCTGTTAGTACCTGCAAGAAAATAAACATATAATTAATTATCATCATAATAACTATGATATCAATAGATTTCTGTTGCTTTAACTGTGGTAATATGCAGCACCATGCTATCCACACCAAGTGATATACATAAGTTTGAAACCCAGAGTTGATGAATATTAAAAGCATACAACTCAGCACGCGGAGATATCAACATTTCACAGGCGAACGCGACCGTAGTTAACCATCAACTTACATGATCGACTATGGTCATATAATCATGGTGTACCCTGTTTGACCTCCTATCGACTGCATTTGTTTTTATAAATGATTATGGGAAATGACTCTAGTAGTTGATGGTCAGTGAATATATGGTCGACTTTTTTTGTTAAAATGAGATTTGATCATGATAGCTGATGGTTATATTATTCTTCTAGTTCCGTTTTACAATTTAGTTCATAAAATGCAATTGTGTTCACGGTCAGATGCGATCGACAATGGTCATTCCTAATTGATGACCACTTTGTAGTGATGGGCTCGATCATCGTTGATTTTACAAACGAAAAATATCAAAGTCGCAATATTCGCCCCCCCCCCACGAATGAATGGTACAAATGTAATCACCGAGATAAGGTCTTGTAACTTGGGCAGTTGGATGTCCTTTTGTAATTTACTGTTCTTTGTGGAGTGGATACGGCCTAGACCGAGTGCAGCAAAATCCGCATCCAGTCCATAAAAGTTTTATCATATACCTTATAGGTGTAATTACAATTTTACTACGGCGTGACCTCTAACACGCGATGCAATTTAGAATGACCGGATTTTGCAATTACAAAAACTGACAGCAAAATAGAATAATAAAATAGAACGTATATACAAATTATAGAAACAAATAAATAATCAAACACATATTTAATGAACAATGAAACAATAATAAAGACTAAACAGATTGACGGATGTATATTACCTGTTGAGGTAAAGCTCCCAAAGTCGGATACGTCAGTGAAAGTAAGATCCTCTACACTTCTTATTTCGAGCTTCCACCAATATGACAAACGTATTCCTGGATCACAGTTTGCACAATACCCTTGATATGACATAACGCTTCCAACATTACATTTACCTCTACAATTCGTCGCACAACTAAGAAAGAAGTTGAAACAAAATATTATATATATAGAAAGAGAGAGAGTTAGAAGAGTAGAGGATAGAGACAGTATAGGTTTTGTGAACGCCATTATCATGAAGATTTGAATTAATGGCAATTTGAATACGTGATTACATTTAATGCTTGGTTTGAAATTCCTCTAATCTTTTCAAAAGTAATTAGAGTGTGCACGTCAATTTATTGGGTTACATCCCTCCCCACATATTAGACAAGCTTTTAACATTACTGTTTAACATTACTGTTAAAATTCTTCGTGTTCGCTTTATAAATTATTCTTGATTTGGTTCTGGCTAAGTATAAATCTGAAATTTGAAAATCCATTGAAATAAGGTTAATTAAAATAATAATGTAAGCTGGATGAATTTAAAAGAAACTTACTGCATGTAAATATCAGGAGGCGTTCCTTCTACCACTTCTATTGCTTGTTCAGATTCACATTGTCGAAGGTCCTTTGTGACTCTAACTTTGAATATGTATTTTTTATCAACAGCAAGCATACTAGTTGGAATGAATATAACACCATCATGATAATCAATTCTCCCAGGCCCAGCTTTGAAACACCCACCATTATCTATATTAGTATCTGTTTCCGGCATCACTATTTGAAGATCGAGATCATCTCCTGATGTTGGGAGACTTTCACCCTCTTGCATACAAAACCACGTAAAATTTAAACCAGATTTATCTGATTGGTAGTCAGTATCAGGGTCGTATGTAAGACTTAGTGCATCAAGCTCCAATGTAGTTCCATAACCAATGGGCCGGCCATTGCCGCCAGCAATGGCGCATGCAATAGGAGTTTCTTGAATCAGTAGATATAATTCATCTTGTCCATCGACATGATTAACTCCAAACATTGATACTGTCAATACTATTTTATACAGACCACTTTGTAATGTATTAGATGATATGAACAGCTCTGGAGACGTGTACTCCAATTCAGCAGTCAACAGATTTCCATCAACATCTATTTTAGAAACCTCCCATGTAAAATTAGTCAATGATGTCACCATACAATCCAGTTTTACTCTTGCTTTTATAACAATGTCATTTGACTGCTTTTTCTTTCGTGGATTTTGAACATCCGTGTCTTGTCCCCTTATATGTACTGAAGGTGCTCGACATGGTAGGCCACTGACTGTGATGATGGTGGACAAAACTGTATATGATATGTAATTGTCTATGGTTACTGAGATATGAAATGTGCCAAACAAGTTGAATGCATGCTGGATGGTAATTTCGGGACCTTCTTCAATCACTTTTACAGCACCTTCATACTGCGGTATTGTTTGGCAATGCTCAGGGCCAATCAATACATGCTGGCTCCCATCATCAAAATCCCACAGAGTACATGCTTGAGTATACAAAGTTCCAAACGATATCAGAAAGTTAACTGGATCAGAAAGGAGAGGTGTATATGCATCTACTGCGAGATTCAAGTCGGTAGGAATTTGGTCAATTATATACAGTGTCCTTTCCGCTGTGGCTACACTAACAGCATTTTCCACCTCCAATAAAACTTGGTGTTCTCCCACTCCAGAAAAATCGTGAACAACGACTTCTGACACATCCATGTCCCAGCCACCAAATGACCATACATATGTCAGATTACTCCCATCATTGGTGACAGCTTCAAGTTGAATAAGATATCCTGTTGGAAAATGGTTTTGTTCCTGACCAAACCCTGTAATAAATGTATACTGATCCAACATGTATGATGCCTCGAAGTCCACTGTAGTAACCGCTTCATATGCGTCTATTGTAGTAATATAGTGGCCAGATGAAACTAAGTTCCACACATGAAAAAATGCGTCATAGGAGCCAATTTGGTCATAGGTATGTGTAAAAGTGTTGTCAAGTTCAAGGATCACGTCTTCACTGTCAATAATAGAACCATCTCCAAAATCAATCAACATTGATGGCTTAGTCGGTGGGCTGAACGGACTTTGAACATTAAGATGAAAAGTTACCAGGCCATCTGCAATGTCTACTGGACTGTTGGAAGTCAACATAAAGTGAGTTGTGCTATGTTCAGCAATGATTGATTCTGGAAGGAAAGCCGAAACCGAGCTGAATACATTAAATGCATTGGCATTAACGCTGAAATTCCCGGGCTCGTACCAACAATGTGTAAACTGTTTAACACCAGGCAGATAGAAAGTAGTCGCATCTGATACACCGTCGCCAAAATAAATTTCAAACGTTACTTCTGTGCCATTAACTACTGATGCACTGATTCCTGTACAGTCATGTGTCTCTACTAGGAAGCTGTCAGTTTCTATGAAAAGCTCGTCAATTGGTTGTATGGCATTTAAACTGGAAGTGAATGACATTTCGCTTGCTGCATTGATGCAATCTATAGACACGGAAAAGTTTCCCGGTATGTTATACACATGTGTAATCCAGATTGGTTCATCACTTGTGATGTTACTAGGAATATTTGACACAGCAGTTCCGTCTCCGAAATCAATTAGCATTACCATGTCATCTGGAGGGTGCGTGTCTTCATCAAGCTCAAGCTTAAACAAGACTTCACTTGGAACTGGTACAGTATCATTGAAACTCGTGAACTGGATGCCACTAACTGGCCAAATAATTGTAACCGTCCGAGTCAATGATTTGTGCACAAGGATATTATCAACACTTGCAATTAAAGTATATACTCCAATATCAGCATAGGTGTGGTAGAAGCTGTGTTCTTTTAGTCTGGAATGATAATATTCGCCAGTGGTCCCATCGCCGAGATCAATAGCGTATTCGATTTTCGAACCACTTAGAACATGCAGTCTGAACTGCATAGGCATTCCAACACCACTTATGACACTTTCTCCTGTAGTACCAGCTTTATCAAGCATTACTTTGAATACACGAATTGGAATAAGCACTGCTAATTCAAACATAGCTGACTGATTATTAATCTCATTTGCCACTGTCACTGTAATTGTATAATTTTCTGAATCTTCGTACAGATAATCTATATCTGGAAAGCGCCACTCCAGTGTTCCTTTGCCGTCGCCGAAATCATAGTAGTAGATAAGTCCGTCACCTGTTGCCGTAGTAACATTGGTTAGGATAGCATTGTCCCTGCTACTTAGAGCAGCAGTTAAAGTTACACCGCTGACAGGCGTTGTTGCTACAGGCTTATTGTGAACTGATTTAAGGTGGGTTGTGAAAAAGACACTATTCTTCCAGTTGCCGCCGCACGTGTCACTGTTGTCATCATTACATGCTAAGTCGCACGATGTATTATTTAAAAGAGAAGATGTTGGATATGAACTTCCACAGAAACACTGGTTTCCATTTCGCAAGGCAGCAAACTTATAACCGTCTAATCTGCATGCCAGTCGGCATGTCGTAGGAACAACTTTATCTAGTGTGGATGGCATTATTGAAAACTCTGGAGACATGGTACTTTCTTGATAACAACCAATCAAGTGAGTGGATGTGAAGTCTATAAGCAGAAACATGTAAAATATTGTTTTAGAATGTGAATGTTAAGGTTGCAATTAGGGAAAACCCCATAATGAATGTATCTGTAAAAATTACACGATGCCGGTAACCCAACTTGTACATACAAAAACGGATGACTGTATGTTGTAAATGTTGAGTAGACGTGACAAATTATACATGATGTGCATACATGCTAAGCTGCTGTAATGTTCACAGTTCGAATTTAGATTCAATGAAAAAGAAAGCAAGTATAAGAAAATTAATGAAATCGGGATTGTAATTTAAATCATTTTCTTCGAATAAATAAACGCAAGCAAAGGTTCGAACACAAGTTATTATACTATTATCGTGTGAAAAAATATATGAGAACATTAGTGACCTAGTATGAGTCCACGTCATGTATAGGTACGCAAACAGCGAACTGGTTACTATTTCAATCAATTCATATCTATGATTTGATAATATTCATACAATAACTCAATTACATATACAGTAAGAGACAGTGAATAAAGTTCTGATGATATATACATTAACTTGTTTTAACATTAGATAATATTGTATCGGTTATATGTTGTGGAATGTATTTTCGGTAACCATGCAAGTGTGAATTTGTTAGTACATGCATATACGTGCTGAAAACACATTGTCATGAGCCACATGCATATAAGTTTATTTATAACATATTTATAGTTGTAAACATGCAAAAGATAGTTGTTATTGCATAGTGATAGTTGCTGTAATAATCAAAAATGTTGGCAGTGGTATTGTGAACGACAAATCAAGTATTTTAACGGTTATCTAAGGTTTTTCAACGAACAAACACTTGTTATATGTTTGTAAATAGAAAAATACTGTCATACTGGTCAATTCATTAACCACAGATTGGATGTGACTATATCATGTTTTTTAATAAAACTGTAACATGTACCAGACGATACAGAATGTTATATTCCATTGTAAATATGTGATTAATCACATAACGGTATTGCATTGTTAATTGGCAACACGTGTCAAATTAAAAATCTAATGTGAGAATGCTGCCAACAAATTTGAGTTTCACACAACTTCGATCATAATTTATATAGTATAGTACTAACTAAGTCACTGGTCAACAGAAAAGAAGATTTAAAAAATTAAATAGTTTGTTAGATTATTGAAATAAAGTATGTCCTCTGTGTGTTGTCTGCTTACGGTCATCACAAGTTGGTTGCGGGGCAACCAAGTTACAATATGCCCACATTACGTTGGCCTCTGTCGTGAAGCACCACGGGAACCAATCACCATCGGGGTTGCGGCAATAGTTATGTTCGCCGAGTCCGGCGTGTGAGTACGACATCGGTGGAAACATGTGGGAGTGAGGCGTTGACGCAGTCCACATCTGACACGTGTAACCTCCCACTGTATGATTCATGTGGCCGCGATAGTCGCGACCACGGGCATCAGTATAACAGTTGTCACCAATGATAACTATGTAGGGAAACCGAGTAAATTGAAGAATGTCATGATTCCCATAATTTCGACATTTACCCTTAGGCATAGTAAAAATAATAATAATTATCACGGTATAGGAAACCATTAACATACTCACTGTGTCGTCTAAACAACATATCGATATACTGAGAGATAAACTGTATATAGTGTCTGTTTCGTGTTGGTCGTCATCCCCGTACCAAAGTATAATAATTACAATTTAAATTACTGGTTTTTGTATTATCAATTTATTTCATTTTTTTAACAATAGTCAAATCATTTTATTTGTAATTAACATAATTCCCCCAAATGACTGTAAATATCAAATACATTTCAAGCAAGGATGTCCAAACATTTCGTTTGATTCGAACATGATTATCCAATACAAATTAAACACATATGATCCAGGAAAACGTGTAATTCATTCTTCATAAAAAAATTAAATAAACCATAGTAAGTACGTCCAGTGTCCAGCTAAGGATATATACTTATTGTCTAGTTAGTGTAAATTAATATACAGTTTGGTGTTAGTATTAGTATAATTAGTATAGATAATGTTAGTCACATCATGCTGCAAAAACACAAAAACTATAATGATAGGGTAATGTGTCTCAACATAACCACACATGCATAAATTAGTAGCATATGTATCTAATTATGTATAGCAGTTATGGCGCATACACACATGATTTTATTGCCATTACAATTTTGGAATATGTTAATATCATTCATCTACATGCACAAGTATAACATTTATATTCAAACCAATTTTGTAATTAAATGTATCGTGACATAATGACCCAACATAAATATAGATCAGATACACCATTACAATAAACAAATGTTGTACATTAAGATTGTACAATATTATCAGGTGGTGCCGCGAGATTTACTGCCAGGGCCATATATATCGATTCTCATACTCCTTACGGACACAATATAACCCACATGTATATATATATATAACATTATTTACCTTGACTGTAGATACCAACCACGTCATTCACATTCATGAGAATGTCCCAGAACTTCAACTCGTCGATATTTAGTTTGCCGTAGGTCATTGACATTTCATCATTAGATGTTCCAACATAAAACGCAGTATAGGGATCGATACCATCAGAAGGTACTGTGTATGGTCTTTCGGTGCCACTAACATCAGATCCAATACATGCTCCATCAATGTAGACGTCCAGGCCAGACACCAATGACCATGTGAACATTACATGGGACCATACCATAGTGTCAATCTCAAAAGTAACATACCATTTTTGATTGTCCACACCTACCCCTACCTCAAATACCCAAGTGAGTGTGCCCTCATTGCCATTCAGACGGAAGTAAAAACCGTTGGAATTATCTCGCTGCCCACCACTGGAGAGAAAGTAGTAGTTGCTGTTTCCTTGTGTAATGTTAAATGGCATCATCCAACTCGAGACTGTAAAGCCATTAACGCAAAGGGTCACATCATTCAAACATCCACCCGCTACGATATCAAGGTTAATAAATTCCGAAAATCCATCTAATGACATAGCATTGTTAACAACTCCTGCCTCAATGATGTTTAATTGATTCATCTTATTACTCATGCCCGTGTCAATAGATGGGCTATACCCAATGACCGTCTTGTTATCTGTTGCCATGGCATCCATTGTCCAATAATATACCTCTGTCGGGCTTTCATCTGTATGAAAATGATATAATGGATGGATTCAGTAACAATGTTGGTACATAGGTGTTCAAATACTGAAATTATTTGCCATTTTCGCTTATGTACCTAATTACTAAATTAAAACCCAGTGAATATATATTGTGTTACTTTCTTCACAAACCAGGTAATTAAAAATTTAGTGAATGTTTGTTTGTTTGTTTTTCACATAAATCACAGGGAGTGTCATTTATGTCGTAACAGAACCATAACAATGCATTGCGCTATCCGATGCCATTAACTGTAATGTATCTTTGCCAGTGTTTTTTTTTTATCTAATTTTAAATCCGGTGGCACATAAATACAAGAGAATTCCGTAGGATTTGAATTCAAGACTTATCAATCAACAGACTGCAACATCAAACTCAACGTTTGACTGTGACTCGCCATAAACCTAACTCTACTGCTTGGCCTTAAACACAAATATAAAATATAGAGTATTTGAACTTGTTTTCTTACCATATGACAACTTGTAGATGCCAGCCTCATCCACTCCAATCTCAATCATTACTATGTCGTCTATATAAAAGCTCGGTGTGTTGCTGCCTGTCTCTACATTTCGCCCTATATCGAATGATGTGTAAGTGTCATGTGTGATGGTTGAAAGAGTATTTTGTTCACTTGCACTTTGAGTCAAAAGTCCGTCAATGTATATCTTTGTATCAACCGTATCCCACGCAACAGCTATGTGCTTCCATATACCAGACGGAAAGTCAAATAGACCTTCCCAAAACCCTCCTGATGCTGATGCAACGTACCATGTCATCTCATCGCTTGTACTGTCGTACTCTAGCCTTATGCCCCTTGATGTGGTCAAGTCGTTCACATTGTTTACAACTGCCATACTCGTACCAGAAGGTGACGACAACTTCAACCAGAACGACAACGTGAACCCACTATCGCAGTGTAGCGTGCTCCCCAGGCAGAACTGGTCTCCTACATCTGTCGTCAGCCAGTCACCAGATCCGTCTAAGGCGACTGCATGTGATTTGACACCAGTAACAATGGAAACTGCACCGATAATCTCAAGATCTGGGGATCCAATGACAACTCCGTTGAACGTGTCGTCTAGCGGCATGTGGAAGCGATCTGTGTAGAAAATAAAACAATGTGATAATAAACACCGTGACAACACAAGAAAACAAAATTAAGTAAGTATCGTTAATGACTTTATCATTTACGATTTTTTTTTTGATTTGTCATTTATTCACTACTTTTCTCATTGAGTATTGTTTTAAGAACTCCCATATCATGTCCACAGCCACAAGAAATACGAATGCGGACAGTTTTTCATTGAAATGTCGTTATGCTTTACATAGTGGATATCACGTCCGTGTTAATTCCCACGACTAAACCTTCGTTTGGAGGTTTAATTAAAAGTAAACTTCGGTATCAATACTTGGTAGTGCGGTGATTGACATACGTCCACCTGATTCAATATTGAAACGTGCTTAAATTTGTAATACGTTTTCATGAGTAGTTTCCAACCAACTCCTCAACGAAGTTAACGTTGAAACGGCAGAGACAATTCGATATGTTTGTTAACGGTACATAGTCTAACATTGTCTTATTGATTCCCATACACTCATTTCCTTAAAATTAAGTTCTGCACAATTTCCTCTTTTAATTGATCGGGAATTATATAAGATTTGTGCGTACCTATTGCCAGAATTTTACGATCTGCATTGTTTATGTGTTTTTTTATATACTTCTCACATCCGGTTATCTTGAAATGGTTTCGGATCTGTACAAAATATTTCGCAAGCTGCATGTTATATTAATTTTACAATTTACGTAACATCCTGTTATTATGACAACTAACTCCCTTGAAATTGACCGATATGGCACGATAGATGCTACGGTTTGGCGTACGACAGTAGATACAGTACATATAACGGAACTCTTGCGTAGTTTGGTTGGTTTGTCCGAACGCTGCACAGATCCTTTTTTAAGCGCGGTAGTCGTCGCGCAGCGCGTGTTCGAATTTCATTTAAATAAATGTATTTTACACGCGTTGTATACGTCGCTATGAGTCAAGCATTGTTTGTGTTGTGTTTTATTCGATGGGCAATGTTCCTGGCGTGAGCATTGACTGCTTTGCAGTAAACATTAATACAGTATGCAATTATGATACATTTCGTACAAGACCCAAGGATGAATAAAAAACATTTCATAGAAATTCATTATCAATTAAGCATTATATATGTTAACCATATTTATAAAAAAAAACTGTCTTGGATAACATCATCGTTATCAATTCAATGACGATTCATCGCAGTTTGTTGTTCTAGTTACTTAACCAATGATATATCCTTATCTGAAACAAGTGTGGTAGGAAGGTTTTGGTGGTATGTGAGTAATGATCTTCGTGCATGTATTGTGTACATGTATTGTGTACATGTATTCCATAAACTTACATTATACACTTGGCGATGTGTTCCTTATTCACTAAGCTTATTTTACTTTTTGCATGCGTGGAAGAAGTTCATTTATTAACGCGGTGTCACGTGTCACTTGGCGTGAAATGACTTGAAAGCTGTTCGTTTTACCGTGACGTATGTGGCAACAATGGGAAAATTGCCTTTATAATCAACAGCAATTGTTAAAATTGATGTTAACAAAATTAAATGTCGCTTTGCCTCGTTTAGCGCATTCATCCGCCTGTACCGGAAATCATTCAAAATCATTTGGTTTTATTTAGTGAATGCACATTAACAAAATCACTCCACATTAACTATCTGGAAACAACCCGAAAAATATTAGTCGATTGAGACTTCATAGAGAGACCATATTTCTCTCTAACGTAGTTAGGACATCAAAGAATGTACTAATGGTGTCGGTAAAATGAAAGCACTATGTCTCAGCAGTTCAGCGAACACACAGCACGGCGCTTACTATAAGAGCGTCAACCCATTGTGGTTGTACAACCGTACAAGTTGAAAATGATTTTCGGAATATCAAGGTGAAACAATGGTGTTATAAAAACAAATTTTTCAAAGCAAGCTGTGGCAAAGCTCGGACGATATTATTATTATTGTCAGTATGTTATCGCATAACATTATCGTTGCGCGGAAAATAAAATAATATTATACGTAAACTTTAATACTGACTTCACGTCTAATCACACAATAATTGTATATGTTTATAGTATTCCTGTGAATGTAATAATGCTGAAAGGAAAACAGATTTGTCATATTTGTCAGCCAGTGTAACTGCAATGAAAAAAAAAATTGTAAAGCGCCTATAAATATCGTGATTCGTAGAATCAGTCGTGGTGAAAGGAAACTTATATAATAGGATATTTGAATAATGACTTGAATGACAACAGCAATTTAAATTGCATAAGCCTCACAATATTTACAGCATTCACGCACGTTAGACTTTGTGACCCGGCTTACGCATTAAAAACGTTCATTTTTACTATTCCCATGGTGACGATTTGTTAGTGTGTTCCAAATATGTTGACGAATATATTTTTTATTCTTAAACATATTACTTTTTTTTGTTTATTATGAAAATATCTATACAATTAGTTATTTGCCCAGGAAACGATGGTGGACATAATCGAATAACCATTAGACAGAAAACACACACAATCTTTGGGTAGACCAGAATCGCGCGTATTCATTCCATATTTGGAATTCGCATTTCCTAATATGGTGGGATGGAAATACCCCGTAAAATACCACAAAATTACGGCACTTACGGCGTTACGATGACAGAGTAAATTAATGCCTGTTCTTCACAATTTAATAAACAAATCCTTGGCTGTTGACACCTGGTAGGCAAAAAGTATTCATTTTGCCCTGCTGCATGTGTGTGTGAATTGAATATACGTTTTTTAATTGGTTTACGAACATTTCGATGGTTTTCAGAGGCAACGCTTTGCTTCAAAGAGCGACATAGTCGACATAGCATGCATTGTAACCAAATAAGAGGATTGAACTCCTTTATTTGATGAACCTTTGCAAGTATATAAATGACGTCACACGACGAAAAAAATGCAAGCCACGATAGAACAAATCTGACGAAGACCGTCTTGGTATAATATATGCATGAACAGCACACTTATAAATGACCTGAAGTGAACTATGTGAATTTGTATTCTACTTGAATAAACTGCACAGCCTCATTTTGTAGATCAACACTTTGAAGGGTTAACATACGTATTTGTTTTCGACAAAGACATGCAAAACGTGAGATGAATTATACGGCAATTTCCTAATCATGTTTGAACATACACTGAATAAACAAAAAAGATATTTGATCGTCTAGTTGGCGGATAATGCAATCTTCTCATCCATTTAAATATGTTTATACATATGTATCCATGCATTTTCTATATGTACGAGGAATCCAAAGTAAGATATACGAGTGGGAATTTTGTGCTCCTTTAAAAGAATTCAGATCAATGAATACCGCTACATTTTAGTTAATTGATCTGGTTTTTAACGAATTATAATTTGCTCACGATTGAAATTTCGTGCAAACAATGCCGTGAGAGGTTGGCGCTGAACTGAAGATTACATGATTATACTGCCTTCATTATGAATTTATGCCACCAACAATAAAAATGCGGTCACTGGACAATTACAGATACAAGAGTACAAAATGTCAGGGGAAAATTATTAGAAATGGCATTACTTTCTATAATGAGATTATATCTTCACATCTCAAAAAAATATTCCAAATCATAATATTTATAAAACATTTGAAAAAAAAATAATATAAATTATACACAATTGGATGTTCATTCCTATAATGCATTGCATGGATGTGCTGCGCAGTAGTTCACATTTTAAATTCGGTTACATATTTGCTTTAGGGTACACCATATATATTTATTAATATTAAACATTTGAGTGGTTTGTCTCCGCCCCTGTTTATATCACAGATTAGTCATTTGCATATGAATGTGTCAGACACAAGGTCACACAGCCACTGAAAAAAATCATTGATTTTAGTGTTTTCATCTGCCGTTTTATCGAACTATAGCTATCCCATTCCTTTAATTTTTTTGGGTTTCCAATAGCCTTACACATTTGGATGCCCCTACACATGTTAAAACAGACCTTGATGGGAAAAAAATCGCTTGTGCAGATAAACAAGCTTGAAAATCTTTGCTGTGACTTCATCGACGTTTTCTAGGAGTTTATGTTTTTCAAAATACAAGGTCTTTAACAAAAAATAACGTATACTTATTGTCGTTGGATTAACACCAAATTTAAGGTGACAATGAGAGGAACTTGAATGTGTCCAGACAAATTATTTCATGGATTATTTACCAATGTGTTGTGGTTTGAGTTGGGGTCAATGCGACTAAAACAGAAATTAAAATTCAGGACACTATTTTTCAAAATGCGTTGCTTGAATAAAATGATCAGACACATTCAATTTACCAGACTATTGAACAACTAGGAAAAGCGAAAACAAAACTTATTATCACCAGCATAAATGCGTAATTATTTTTTTTACAAAAAAAGTAATTTTTCACTTTTGATTAAGTAACTCACCGTAGAATGCAGATACGGGCATGACAAACACACCTTTGAAATGCTTGAAGTCTGGCGATTCCAAAAATATATACTTTCCTGGGTCTATTTGTAGTCGTTTGCTCCCAATTAGAAGATGAAAAAAAGTATGCAAATAATAGTCCCGCTACCTTAACTGAAAACTGAGGGGCTGCGCCTCGGTGAGTAATTGTTCCATCGGGGAGACACATCGTCAAATAATTCTCTGTTAATTATTTTGATTTGTTTATTATTTTATAACAAATCTCCCATACTTGACAAGCGTCACCTACATATTACACAGGGTATACATATTTGAATTCCCCCAAAAAATAGATATAAACGTCTGTATATATTGGATTATAATACCGTCATATTTTAAGTAGAAAGAAATGGACTCGGGACTACTCACTTCGATTTCGGACGGGAGCGTTCCGCAACCAGTTGAAAAATAGGCCCGCATAAATCGACTTTAAGGTGCCTTTGGCCTCAAAATTGTCACTTTTCGCAAAAAACGGGCCTAAATTCTCCTAAAATCACCAAAAATCTCTAAATAGGTCGGATCGAT